AACTATTTCTTTTGATTTCAATATCTCGAAATTACAGCAATATTCTACGTAACTTACAAGTGTGGCAACCGTGATGAATGACTAAAATAACTTCACCAAACCATGTCGACTTGACAAAATTGGTGAAAGGTGAAATATTGACAAACTAACCCACATTAGACCGCCTTTGATTTAACAAGTGTGTTCTCACACCTTGGTTCAACTTGGTGTGTGGTGTTTAATGCAAGTTCGACTAGCTCCCGAGTCACCTTGATGTAGCCAAAAAAAAAAATTAGCACTGGATTGCCTTTGAATCAAGTCTAGATAATAATGCTTGGTTGCCTTTGGATCTTCTTTTTCCTTCCCAAACTCATTCAGGCTGGAGAATTTCCCTTGAAAATGTGACTGATATTCAATCCTTGCAATATTGCATGGACTGTTAAGCCAGACATCAGATCCTCCTCATTCGGCAACTCACACTAATTGTGCAGTGACCGATGAGCCAAGATGTCCGATATCTTTTCCTCTTTATGAATCTTTCTACGTATAGCATAGGTTCTATATTTGGTCCATAGATCTATCTAGCTGTAAGATACAAATTGTCTGCCTACATAGTTTCTATATAATACATGCTATACAATAGGTTTGGTATATCGACCAAACCTTTCTCCTGCAATTCTTTTTTTTGACGAACGCTTGATTTATGTTCATGTTTTTAAGGATTAGTTAAAGTTTTTTTGTCCATAGGTATGATTCTAATTAGGGATAATTGCAGCAGCGGTATCAAATCTTTCATTTAGTAGCAGATTTTGTTCAAACTATTCATTTGTGCCACCCACAGTATCAAACATTTCAAAAACTCGCAGTTGGAGTCCAATTTAACAGAAACCGTTAGTTTGATGGCTAGTTGATCGAAAAATTGACATTGACCATCATTTTGACAAATTTTACAAGGTTAAAATAGTAAATTTACATTTTCCCAACAAAACAACAATTATAAGATATTAATAATTAAATAAGAAAATTCAAACACACCACCCATCACCACCCCTTTTTCTCCAAACCCCTTACCGTAAAACCACCATAGATCGTTGCCGCCGCCGCCAGGTCGATGCCACCACTACAATGCTTACCAATAGCACAAAAGCCCACTTGTGCCATTTTATCTTTCGACGACGCTACCGTTCCATCTATCAAAATCCCTAACCCAAAATATAAATCTCACTCTCAAATCGTACAAGTAAATGAATTGAGCATTAAAAAAACACTAGGTATTAGGTTATGAATCTAGTGCCCGTGAGTTCACTGTAACTCCATCTGGACTTGCTTATTGCGATAAAGGTGTTGGGTCTGAATCTAGCAAGCCTTTCTTCTGTTGTTCTTCAGTTGGTGGTGGGTGTTGGTGGGTTCTTGTTGAGGTTCTAGCTGTGGAGATGGTATTTCAATCTCTTCCACCGTAGATGACAATTGATGGGTAGGATCTGGTAGAGATGGGGTGGGTTTGTGTTCAATCTGGTGTTTGGCGATCTGATTTGATGGATTGGACGTGATAGAGGTGCAGACAAGCGATGGCCGAGAACTGGGTGGTTTCTGGCTTTTGGTTTTTCAATCAGTGTTTCATTGATTATTACAGAAAGACGTGGTGGTCGGGGCGACGATAGTCGATGGCATGGGAGGCAATGACCGGGAAATGCGTAGGTCCTAGTTTTGGTTTTGGGTAGGTGGGGTATGTGGTAGGGGTGAGTGGAAAAGATGTAGCTTTTTTTTTTTATTGTTTCATTATAGAAAATATTAATTTACCATTTTAACCTTGTAAAATTAGCCAAAATTATGGTCAATGTCAAATTTTGGTCAACTAACGGTCAAATTAACAGTTTCTGTTAAATTGGACTCCAACTGCGAATTTTTGAAATTTTTGGTACCGTGTGTGGTACAAATGAAATGTTTGGACAAAATCTGCTACTAAATGAAAGATTTGATACCGCTATTGTAATTATCTAATGCCGAACAGAATAGTGATTATACTGTAAGCTAGTTCTACCAGCAAATTCACAGGGAAGAACACAAGATTAACGCAAAAAAAGCACAGAGAAAACGTCTCTGAAGTTT